CTGCTCAATTCAAGAATAAATGCACTTATTTTAAGAATAAATTATCTAGATTTAGATTTTTTCCAGTGCGTCATCCATCAGGATCCATCAGACACCTGGATCTGCATCCTGACCTCAGGTGACGGTTTGAGGACCAACTCCTGATCTCCTTCCCCCCCGGCATCCTGCAGCTGTACCTTCATCAGCGCTCTGTCTGCTTCCATCCTCAGCTGAACACCTGAGCTGGAGCCTAACATCTTCACTTCACCGTTTAATAGTTAAATCAACATCATATAAACTCTTAGAACTTAGGGATTAAATCCAGCATGACAGCTCAGACGGAGCTCTCCTCTAAAACCCGAGCTGTTCTGACCTTTAACTTCTGCCTTCACAGGCTCTGGAGTCTCCAACCCGTTCCGTGAAATAATCGACTGCATGTTTTGTGTTTGATCTCCCCTGAAGAAAGGAACGCAGGCGCTGGGCAGCCGGCTTCATTTATGCTGCCTTCCTCAGGCTACGTGGTTCGCTTCAAGTCGACATAATCCTGCATTACGTAAGCGGGGCAGATGTGGACTTTGGTCTGATTTTCACTCTAAGAATCTGTTTTCTGCAATAAAACCTGTCATATCGATGAAAGAGGAGAAAAGAAGCAGAAAGTAAATTAAAATGCTGTATTTATACATGATGGATGATTTTATTTAAGTAAGAACATTAGATGTTTTGGTGGATCTTTGAACTTCAATGTGAAAAAGTTATCTGCTCCTCATCATGACGCCTCGCTCTCTTATCTCTTATCTAAATAAGGAATAACAGGCGGCCTGCTGTAAAACCAGATAATGCTGTTGATCTGACCCAGATGCATCCATTAAATTAGTCATTTTATTATATAAACTACGTTCTGGTGCTTCCATGTCTTTGTTTCTCCTGCTGATCTGTTTCTACGGCAACCAGCTTTCGGGAAAGCTTCCTTTTCTTTGCAGGTTTTTGAGGTTTTAAAGTTGTTGTTTTTCTCCTGCTGGTGTCCGGATGTGAACCTGACGCCTGGAATTGGCTGAATGGGTTTATTGCTTCAAAGCTGCTCCACGTCAGATCTTATCCCCGCACAGATTACTCAACCTTAACCCAGAGCCAAGCAGGCGCAGTCAAGCAGGAAGTGAAATACTTTAAAAAAAAATCCAAATTTCAGCCAATAGTTTTATTGGAATCCAGGATCAGACCTTATTACCTTTGTAAGATAAAAAATAAGGATATTTTGATGGAAAAATGAAAACAAGAACTTCCCCAAATATATTAAGAAAAATAACCAAAGTGCTTCTACACTGCAAAAAATGTAAATCTAAATAAGTATGTTTTTCTTCAAATAAGTGCATTTTTTCTTGCATTGAGGAGGAAACTAAGACACTTTGGCAATGGAGCAAGACAATTTACATTTAAAATAAGATAAAACAACTGTATTATCGCTTTTTAAGTCCATATTATCTTATTATCTTATTTTAAGAGTAGAAAATACTATTTCCATTGGCAAATAATTTAATTTACCTGCTGAAATTAAGAATAAATACACTTGATTTAATAAGTTTTTACTTATTTCTAAATCGTTTTTCCAGTACACTGCAAAAATCTAGAAATAAGTAAAAAATTTCTTACATTTAGTGTATTTGTCATTAATTTGAGCAGGTAAATGAGTATTTTTACTCTTAAAATAAGATAATTAGATAAAATGCACTTGAAATAAGACAATGCAATTGAGTTTTCTTATCTTAAGTGTAAATTGTCGTGTTCCATTGGCAAAATTGATCTTTTATCTCCTCAATCCAAGAAAAAATGCCCTTATTTTAAGAAAAAACTTCTTATCTAGCTTTCAATTGTTTCCAGTGTGTAGAAGAAATTCATGAAAAACACTCAGAGAGAAAGAAACACATTTTATTTTGGTCCAACATTAATGCTGATACTGGCACTGACATTTTTTAGTTTATAAACCTAAATATAATTGTTAACGAGGATCATTCACTTTTTAAATTACTTTTTAACATTTCAATTAGATTTTTACCTTTTTAAAAAAAAAACAAAATCTAAATAAGTAATTTTTGCTTAAAATAAGTGCATTTGTTCTTGAATTATGACGGTAAAAGAGACATTTTGGCAATGGAACAAGATCATTTACACTTAAAATAATAAAAAAAATGCATTGTCTTATTTTTAGTGCATTTTATCTAAATATCTTCTTTTAAGAGCAAAAATCCTCATTCCATTAGCAAATCATCTGATTAACCTGCTGAAATTAAGGTTAAATACACTTAATTTAAGACATTTTACTTGTTTTTAGATCATTTTTTTCAGTGTAGGAAATATTTCATTCAAGGCTCATCTTTTAACTCCTCAATCCAAGAACAAATGCACTTATTTTAAGAAAAAAAGACTTATCTCAATTTCAATTTTTTGCAGCACTGCAAAAACAATCTAAAAATGAGAAAAAAATTCTTAAATTAAGTGTATTTAACCATTAATTTCAGTAGGTAAATAAGATACTTTGCCAATGGAATGAGTATCTTTAGTCTTAAAATAAGATAATTAGATAATATTTACTTGAAATAAGACGATGCAATTGAGTTTTCTTATTTTAAATGTAAATTATCTTGTTCCATTGGCAAAATGTCTCTTTTACCTCCTCAATTCAAGAAAAATTCACTTATTGCAAGAAAAAATGACTTATTTAGATTTCATTTTTTTGCAGTGCATGACTGGGAGAACGGTGCAGAGATAAAATAAGGAAGACCGTCACCAATTGGAGCTGGGAGGATGGCATCTACCCTCCACCCCACAGCTGGTCAGCACAGGTGCACTGGAAAAAATCTAAAGCTAGATTAATAATTTT